TTTATGAAATTCTGACCCAGGGTTTTTTGCAGATTTAAGACCTCTTTGGTACAGGGCTGATGTAAGGACTACGTTCTTGCCTGTTCTGTTAAGTAGTAATATAAAGTGCAATGGCTCTTGTAGCTATTCTGAAGCTATTCCCTTTTGTTTAGTTTCACAGTCCAAACTGAAAAGAAAAAAGAATGACCCCACAGCATGTGAAAGATATTTCAAGTATAATTTACAGATAATTTGTTTCAATATTCCAGTAAAACATGATATTAAGTAGTGATGTAATCTATAAAATTAATTTATTTCAGGGGACTGTCAGGAATTCCTGATTTACTCTAAGGTCCTGTTAGCACAGTGTGACAGTCAGCAGTGGTGCTAGCAAGTGTGCGAGCAGTGCAGCAGCTTCGGCCCAGGGGCCAGACTGCAGCTGTGGGATAGGGAAGGCAGGAGTGGCTGGACGAGGGTCCCTGTATTGCCTGGCAGTGTGAGGGATGTCGGGGGCTGTCTGCTCCTTTCCACTTGGGCAAAACCACTTGGGCAGAGTGGTAATTTGACCCACTTTGTGCTGGTAGCGAGGAGAGCATATGAGGAGGGTGCTCAGATCCCATGTTCCCCAGCGCAGACCAGCTACGCCTACTTAGCATGTTCATTGCTTAGCACCATCTCCAAGGTAAGCTTTTACCCCTCCCAGTGGTTTTCTGCTGCTCCACAGGTTCAGCACGGTGGTGCTTCTGCCCAGTGTGTTTATTGTCCATGCCAGAGCTGCACAGCCTGCAGCAAGCGTTGGTACACCCTCCCCACGGGAGATGCATTTTTCTGCTGTAGACAAAGCCTTCAGCTTCTTCAGATCCAGGGGCCAGGGAGTCTTTCCATTGATTTTGACAGCCTTTAGGTCAGGCTGCTCTGCACTGCAGCCTTTTCAGTGTCCTTTGTGAGAGCTCTTTGGCCAGCTTTCCCCTCGCTTTCACCAGAGCTGGGTCTTGGTGTGTGCAGAGGTTTTCCTTTTTTCTTTTGACTGGGCTGGGGAGTCTTCCCTGCTCTTGGTTCTCCATTCACGTGTGGGAGCATCACTGCTGATGTGTGCCCTTCTCTGAGGGGACACCAACTTGTCTGTCTGTCTTGTCTGTCTGTTATTCTGTTCTGCTTACCTTTCTCTTTGCTTATGTAGTTCTTTAACTCCTACCAGAAAGAGCTGGAAGAAGACACGTAAACAAAAGCTGCAGTGGATAGACACACTGACACTTGGCTTTGCTAGGAGCAGGGAGAGCACTATTGAGTAGCTCCAGCATCTTTCTTCCTAACAGTTAAAACCTGCCTCAGGGCTTTTCTAGGCTCTTAACATAGAACCTTTTTCTGGCGTTCTTACAAACCTGTGGTGCTCTTTAGAGCCATCCTCAAACTCCATATGAGGTGGAAATAGTGGCCAGCTGTGCTTGAGGACTGACTGTACTGCGTATTTGTATAGTCTGTACACATGGAGACATAGACACTTAAGCGCCTGCTTAAGTTTATTCACTTAGTCTTAACAAAGCACATAGCGTGACTGAGGGGGCAGGAGTTGAGTTGTCCTCACGGATTCTCAAAACGTGGTCACTTTTAGCGCCCTCAGTTAACCTCTAACAGGAGCAGGGCTGGCTCAGTGTTTTGGGGGAATCTCTGTGTTTTGTACTTTGGAGCTGTGCCCCACACTTGCTGATTCCTTGCCCAACTCTGACACATGGAGCCACCACTGTAGGTAGTACATGGGCTTTCTGAACCCGTCTTTGAAGAGCATTTGGACCTATAACACCTTTTTTCTTTTTCTTTATTCTCTTCTCTCCCTGCAAGACTAATGTGTTGGGTTTTTTTAAATTAAAAAAAAAAAAAATCCATTAGGCCATGTTATCAAGGTCACTTGTTTCAAGCAGTGGAGTGGTACGTTTACGGCCTAAAATTATAGGTACTGATCTGATCGGTTTTTCATCCTGTTTAGCTAATGCTGCATAGTTGCTGACTTTGGGGTGTTTCATCACCTCACTGTAGGGTTCTGCTGTAGCCCTGGGAGTTAGTGCAGACACCCCCACTGCTTTGGTAGGATCTGCCTGGATCTCTGGAGCAGAGGCCAGAGCAGATCCACTTAGTTGTGTGTCTTGTGAGGAACTGGGGGGCTGCTAGGAGGGGAGGGGACTGCTTGGCCTCTGCCCCTGCCCAGCTGCCTCATGGAAATCCCCGTGAGGATCCTGCCAGGAAAGGGAACGTGGCCAAGTTTCTGATGCTGGTAGGCTGCACGGCCTGGTATTACACATACAAGCTTGCACTGCGGAGCATTCAGAGGTAGTGTCAATTTTTTAGGTTTCAAATAACCAACTTAATTCATAGTTATTAATGCTTTTTGGAGGAAAAGCTGGTCGGGGAGGTCACAAGTAATCAATGAGAAATGGACCATGCTGTCTTAGGAGCTCATGGAGCAATTCCAGCAGTCAATTTATTAGTATGGAGCAGAGAAGCACTTTCCTGAATCAAATAAAATCATTCTTAGAGCTGCCTCTCTCCTCAGCCTGGAAATTGGTTTTCCCAGCTACTTGACCACCTCAGTTAGCTCTGATCTCATCAGATTTGATGCACTATATCCAGTTGGTCTGCACAATAGTAATTTTAAATTTTTAATTATTCCATTTGACTTTCAGGGCTGATGATAGACAGGTAGGAATGACTTCCAGAAATCCTGTGATGATTTCAGGCTCCACAGTAAATGCTTTGAATGCTAATTCCACTGCAATTAGCCCATCCAACTTACACTTAATTTTCTCTCTATAGAACTATACATGGTAACAGAGCATTGTTTCTTAGGGTAGTGATCCCACATTGCAGCCCCAGACAGTACAGCCAACTACAAAGGAGTTGCTCTGGGGTTGCATTGGCTTAGAGTGGGTCACAGTCCTCAAGAAAAGAAAGTTTGCTTTATACAATGATGGGCACAGCTCCAGGTTCAAGATGTGGTTCAGAGGAGCTTTGAGAACAGGAATTAGGCAGGGATGAGCTCATCACCCTGCACTTCTCCAAAATCTTTGAGCGTGCTTGGGCTGAAGGTGTCACAAACCTCTTTACCCTCTACTTCTGCTCTGTCTTGGGATGCCGTGAGAGAGCAAACCCTTTACTGAAGGACATTGTTGAACAGAATAAAGAGGAGGAGGGAAAGCATAAAATTTGAGGCCTTTGGAATTTGGGTTGAAACTGTGTTGAATGATCACAGAGGATGGCAATGCTCTGTATCTTATCCAATCCACTTTGCCAAGCAGTCCTGCAGGTAGTACAAATAACCCTACGCTGGTTCAGACATCCCATTTGCTCACAGCATGCCCCTTGCTTTCAGTAGGTTTGAACATGCAAAAAGCATGCAAAACCAGGGTCTGGATACCTGTGGGACTTTGTCTGTGACCTTCCTCTTTCCCATAAAACCTCCGACCCCAAACACTCCGATCTTTTTCCTTGCTGTGCCTTGGGATACGCGAGTCCCTGTGAAGAGTTGTGACTGGGGAGGGAGGCAGGGCAGAGTCCAGAAGATTCACAGGTCATGGTGTTTGGAGCTCGGTTTTCCAGCCTCCTCTGACCTGAAGCTCATTGTGGGAATTAACAGAGCACCTCAGATCCTCACTTGGTACAAGCTAGAGTGATTTTGATGGGGCTACAGAGCATTGTGCCTTCTGAGGACCTGAGCTGATCTTTTTTAAGAACCAAGCAAGTTACTGTTCTCTCCTGTGTCAAAGTCATCGAGGACTTTCCTAAAAACAGCAGCAGATTCCTCTCAGCATGCTTTTGGCTTTCAAGTTTGATGTTCTCAAGTATGTGCTTCTGTCCTTGTTTTTTTTCCCCCTACAGGAATGCAGTATGACACTAGGTACCATTTCTGGTTGTAGCGGTGTCCATAACCTTCCACTCTGATTCCCTGCTCTGAGCTACTGTTTCGCTGTCACCTTTCTCTTTGCAGCCTTCTGTGTGCTGCAGTGCAGTTGTGTTACTGTAGCCTTAATGTCTCCTGTGTAAATGAAAGACCTTGTTGTCCAAGAAGCGTGGTGTTGGGGTGGGGAGGGGAAGAGTTGTTAATTTTCTTTTGTTGTCTGCACTCCATTTAATTTTTTTTTAATTCTGACGGATATAACATCTGCTAAAATGTCTTCCTTATCATTTGCTTGGTGATCACGCAGCCTTCCCACCATTCATTGAGAGCTGGACCAGATCTCACAGAGTCTGAAAAGAGCTATGTGGTAAGGCCACTGTTTAAATCAGATGTGTAGTCCTAGACTCACTTCACCCAGACAGTAACACCTCAGTAGAGATAAAATGCCAGCACTATTTTTAGCTGCAAAGTAGGTACATATTTATCTATTTGCATATATTGTTTTGTTTGCAACAGAAAAAGGGAATTTAGCAATTAGAAAACCTGTCATAGCCGATGAGAAGTTGGGCTAATTGTGCTGCCAGTCTTTGGGTATAAGTTAAATGAAGCAAAATGCATGAATGGAGCGGCCCACCTTGCATTCTTGAACTGACTTCATAGCATTTGTAATGGTGCCACTGCATAACTAATTGCAACCTCTTATGCTGCTGCTTTTAAAAATATACGTATACGTATTTGTTACAAATCTTCAAACTAAATGCCAAATTTTTCTGTATCTTGCCTGTTTTTCCATGCTTACACCTGGATCCCTTCTGCACTCAACTACCTGGATATTTACCTGGATCTACAACTCTTTTTTTTTTTTTTTTTTTTTTTCCCTCACTGGACTTATGTGCTGCATCTGGAATGTCCCATCTCTTCCTGTCTATATTTTCCCTTCCCTCCCCCCTGTTGACTGTCCTTTGGGTGTTCTTGGATGTCAATACTGCCTACCACGCAGGAAGCTGTTTGCAATGAGATCATAAACATTGCAGAAAAGTCTGTTCATTACTGCAGTACTATTTCTCAGCCTCTTGACTCTCGCCACAAGGTGACCTCTAATGACCATAAACCATCTCTCATCATTTCTCAGCAACCTCAAGCACAGCAGCAAGGAGCCAGCCCTGACAGAAGTCAAACACCACGAGACATGTAAGTCCTTTTGGCTCCCATCTCTTCTAAGGGCCTTGTCTCTGACTGGTGGTGAAGATGGGGAGGTATGATGGCTTTAGCGATTCAGGAGTTAAATTAGAATTATGGGAAAGTGTCAGCTTTTCTTTAAAGAACAAAAATAGCCACATATCATCATAATGGGTAGTTTAAAACTGGGACTTTTGTGTCTGTATAACACCTGAAACAATGACCTTGTGATCCAGGACTGGATCCCCTTTGGGCACTTGATTCATGCTGGTTATGGAGACTATCTCAATGTCTTTGTATCTTGAAGGTGGGGACTAACATCTGCTGGCTACACCTGGCTCATACTGTGTGGGTCAGTGTGTTCACCCCTGTTCTTAGCTTCTCACAGTGCAGTGAGCAGTCCCAACACCAATGCCACTTGGTGCATTGTTGGCCAGTTCCGCAGATTAATTGGTAGCCGAATGATCTGAGAGACCAAGGCTGAGATTTTCAAAACTGTCTGGTGGGTTTAAACCTAGAGCTGCCATTAAGCTTGGTGGGGCCTTTCACTGATGGTTTTGAGAATAGTAGCCTGCACTGTGTGCTGGGGACTGAAGTTCCTTGGCAGTTGGCTCCTGAAAGGAACCTTTGCTTTCCCCCTAAAGTCTCATCAGCTCTATTTTCACTCCCCACAGGCAGGGTATCCAAGCCCCCCCCAAATTTGCCCAAAGATTGTTTGCACTCCATAAGGTTCTTTTCTGATAAATACAGAGTGCCTCTGGTGCAAATACTACCTCGGGGCAGGATTCAACCTTAGATTTTGTTTGTACCGTACATCCTCAGACATGATTTATCCAGCAACTTAGTGCAGTAGAGTAGGCAGTATCTTTTTCTAAAGTCCTTCACTCTGCCATTTGGTCATTCATGGCCTTGCCCATGTGCCTGGCCAAGGGAACAGATGTCTCATTTAGCCCAGGAATGAGTGTATCCAGGTTTTGGCTTGCATTCAGTAGGGTGTCTGCACTCCTACGCTCTCTAGGTGCTACATGTTAGGAAGACTCCAGTTACAGTGCATGGAGACAACTACATGGCAAAAAGGAAACAGAAGCTGTCTGCATATCCCACACAGTGCAGGCATGACACATTTTACTGCAGTGGCCTTGTGATGACAACCAATTTAATGCAGTTGGCTTCCACCTCTCAAATGGAAAACACAGGTCCAGACTGCATTGGACAAAATATCATAGGAATTAGAAAGGGAAAGGGAGACGTCTCCTTCTGAAGTAATGTCAGGAAAATCCAGTGGCTAACGTGCAGTATCTTTCTGGTTTTAGAGTTAGCTACCAAGCCCTCTACAGCTACACTCCTCAGAATGATGACGAGCTGGAACTGAGGGACGGTGACATTGTTGATGTCATGGAGAAATGTGATGACGGCTGGTTTGTGGGTGAGTGTGACACTTGCATCTCAAAAAAGCTCTGCTGACATGCAAATGTGCAATTTTGCAGAGCATCTGGAAGTTGCTTTCATGTGTGGGGTTAAAAGGGTGAAAAAATCAGCTCAACTTTTTTCACAATTTCTCATCTTTTCCCACCAAGAACATAAAAATTAGGGTGCAGGGTGGTGGAGCTTTGTTTTCCTTGCTAGCTCTCTAGTTTTCCCTCTTCTCAATTTCCCCATTCCCCTCTTCCTCCTGATCCTTCTTGCTCACAGATGGCAGAGCAACAGAGGGAACCAAGGAAAACTGGATTTCTGTCACTTTTCCAAAACCAAGAGTGCCATGGCAAGTTACAGAAAATGGCAAGTAGGGGACAAAGGGAACACATAGATCGGAGTTGCAGTCCCTGAAAATCCAGCCTCATCTGTAGCTGTATGTTTAGCAAAATCTAGCCCTTTACCTTCAAAGAATGCAAGTCTGGACAGTGTTCTCCATCTCAACACTGCAAATCTAGGCTTGTTATCTCTTCTTAAGGGAGATTAGCTCATTTACACTGATAGGAGTTTGGCTCCTAGCCTGTAGGCCCAGGAGCTTTCACCAGCACCTTATTAGATGTTAAAAGGGAAGACCAAAGATGATCAGAAGCAGAACTAGTTGTGATCTCAGCTATACCAAAAGGCTCTTTGACCAGGACTCCTATTTAGTTTTAGAAAGCAATGCCTGCAGGCAGAAGAGCCTGCCACCTCTTCTTTTTTAAACCCCTAAGCCTTCCTTGCATGCCTCCATCTTACTCTGGCTTCCTTGTGTTTTATTTTGTGACAGGTACATCCAGGAGAACAAGGCAATTCGGTACTTTCCCAGGCAACTACGTGAAGCTTCTGTACCTGTAAAATAAGAGTGATCCCACCCTGACATTGGGGTTGTTTTCCAGATGGTGTTTTTAAACAGTGAAGAAACAGACAATTTATGAATGTAATAGACAAGAGATGAGATGTGTTAGGAGGATGTGGTTATGTGGTACAGTATTGAGTTGAATGTGTAGCCCTGCTTCCACGGACTCAGGGTGTGATTTGTTTGCTGAAGAAGAGACAGTTTCTAGTTTACAGTGCTGCCTTTGTGTATTCCTCTCTCCTCCCCAGCAAGAGTTCTGGTGATAATCTTAATTTGTATGGAGTACTTACGTCTGTGAAGGCTTCAGGGAAGCACATGGTATAGGTTTTGTTTGTGTGTTGAGATAGGATAGTGCTTTGAGGCAGCACGCAGCCTTGCAGCTGCTCCCTTTCACTGGCAAGGTTCAGGGAGGCCAGGCTTTCTGCCTGTTTTGTGCCTCGCTGAAGACTCGCTTTGCTCTGCCTTCCACTTCCATAGAAAACCCTTCCTTCATGTCATGCATCTTAAGACCCAGCAGAGACAGAGGACAGCTAATATGGTTAAACTGCAGAGCTCTGTGTGGAAAAGGAGTTTGGGACTGGTGGTTTAACCCAGAGAGGTCAGCCAAAGCATAATGCAAATGTGCAGAAATCCTAAACCCTTTAATAACATATTACCTATCTCTGCAGGGTTTTTTTCTTTTGTGCAGGGTGTGTGTGAGTGTTTGTGTGCATCAAAACAGACTGAGTCCTGTTTTTTAAAGAGAAGTCAGCCTGGCTTTGACATTTATCTGCACAAAGAATAGAATCAATAAACAGAACATCCGTGAGAGCAAATGCTGTTTGAGTCCTACGGCCGTTCACTTTCTCTGCTCCTCCTGCCCTGTTGCAGGCTCTAAAGGATGACATACTTTTCGAAGCATACTCTTTGGGATGAAGGCCTTGCTGCTTTCCCAGCATTAAATCTTAGAGGCTGATAAATCTGAGCAACGTATCACTGAGGGTGCCTTTTTTTTTCTTTTTGGGTACAGTGTCAATGGTAGTTCTCAAGTAAATACATGCATTTTGGCTGCCTCTTAGTCATACAAAAAAAGTCTAATCAATTTGGAAAGCTGTTCCCAGCAGTTATTACCAGTTACATAGATTTGTATTTCCCTGAGAAAAAAAAACATGGCTTGGCTGTATGCTTGCCTGTAAATCCACTATGAATACTCTTTTGGTAGGCATTTTGTTATTAAGAAAAGCATAAACAAAACCAGTTCTATCAGACCTTCTGCTTCCTACAGTTACCATACAAATAGCAAAGGGTTAGATTGCTATTTTGTCATAAGCCGTATTTAATAATATAAAATGCCTATTTTTATGCTGATGCTTTTATACAGATTTATTAAGAGTAACTACAACTAACTGTTGGCACGACTTGCAATGTTTTGATAAACTAGCCATGCTCCTGGGTTTGAAATCAAGTAGGCTTGTCTTCCGCCTAGGTCAGCGGAAGAGAAGACTCTGTCTCAGAAGTTTGACTGTAAATATGTATATTTAACTTTGTACAGACAATGTACTTACCTTGTATAGAAAAATAATATAAACACATTGAGCAAAGAGAGGAGAAAAAAAAAAGGCAGTTGTGAAAGGTTGGGATTTTTTTCCACTTTTATTTAAATGATGGAATTCCATGTATGTTCACATAAAGAGTTTTAGCACAAAATATCCATTATGAAAGGGTTTCAGATATGACACAAAGCACCACTGTGTGTTTTCTGCAGGAATTACTTTTAATCCTGCATCTTATTTATGGGTTTGTTTTTCTGCTTTGGGTTTGCCCTCCAGTTATTTGCAGCAATATTTAGGCCTGTTGCTAAGATTGGATAACACAAAATTAATCTATCCAGCAAAGTAACATGGTGATACTGACTGTATATAACATACTGATTTAAAGGTTTAATTTTTGTTCTTGCTCTTGCCATTTTAAGTTACACACACATACACACACACACAAACCGCAACTTATTTTTGTCTTGATTTTTTGTTTCTTATTGCAGTGGATTACTATTTGACAATTAATAAATGGAATTATTGAAGTACTGTTGTGTTCCTTGTACAAATCATTAAATAAAGTCTATTCATGCTGTTCCTGTAGCAATGCACTTTTGTAGTAGTGCCCCTCTGGCCGTGTCCATACTGAGCAGTAGGTGTCTGCCATGGGCTTCCCGAGTGTCCTGCACCTGAGAATCCTGCTCGTGACTTGGCCTGAGCTCACCGGTTCTCCCTCTTGAGCCATAGGCAGGTTGTGACTTTTTCATGAAGCAACTAAGGTGTAAAAGCAGAGACAAAGCTGGTTTACACCCAGATCTCACTGTAACATGTGGTCAGAGTGCAGCTGCTGTGGCATGCATGCAGCCCTGGGTGCTCAGGAGCACACCCAAGTCCCCTGTTTTACAAAGGGTCTTTGTGACTCTCTCAGATGAGAAGACCACACGGGTTAAACAGGACAAGGAACCCCAAATGCCAACCTCTGTCAGAAGGGATGCCAGTTGATGTTGGGTTTACATGTGCGTTTTTAACCCTGACTCAGGTCAAAAGCTGTAAGACACCGACTTCTGTGGGAGCTGCACTCTAGGCAGGCAGGTATGGCTGCAGCACTAATTCAAGGGGTTTGTGCAAGGTCTGTGGTGAACACATCACCTCTCCCAGCCCTGCAGCAGGAGAGCTAGCTGGGGCTTTTTAGGTGTGCCTTGTGTAAAGGAACAGTACCTGCAGGAGCCGAGCGGGGGCTGCCTGGGTGGGCTCACTGGAGTCAGTAACACACAAGTATTACAAAAACACACCTGGTGCCTCCATGCGTCTGGCTCCTGCATGGGGCTGTGCCCACCCCGAAGGCTGGCCTTTGTGAGGAGTTTTAACTTCCTTGAGGCCTCCACCTCAGACTGAGCCAAAAGTGGGCAACAGATTCAGGCTCTGCAGTGATGTGACCGGATGGTCAGGCAGACAGATACACATCATGGCTGCACTCATAATGGGTTTAGGAAGTCAAACTATAAACAGTTCAATCCTAAAACCAAACTAACAGGACAGCAAAAGCCTCAAGCTATTTTACACATCCTTAGAAAGTACACAGACACAAGCCCATTTCTCAGTTTTGCAGATTACCTCATATAAAAGCAAAAGGGCAGCCTGACCACCGCTTTGCTGCAATCGCTAGCCCTTACAGTGCCCAGGGAGGTAAGAGACTCATCTATAGCCACTGAACCTCGATGTTTACTGATGTCACTCTCTACCCTAATATACTTGGTAACGAACAAGCTAGAGATACTTTTGTGATTGAAGAAGCTAGGCATGCAGAGAGGGGAGGAGGACCCAGTGGTGTGTCACAGCCCTCCAGAAATCCCTCACACCTGGGGGAAAAGGAGCTCATGGTGTCACTTTCTTCACTGGTCGGAGATGTGTACCGATGCAGTAGAAGAACTACTGCTTCTGATAGGGATGAGATTAATAGTCCGGATGCATGTACCAGAGGGAAGTAACCCGTGAGATCACAAGTTAATGCAGGAAAAAGGAGGAAGCCAAGAAAAGGGATTGCAGAGGTGAGGGTGTGCCTTGTGACAGGATCGCTCGTGGCCATGTCTTGTAGGGCCAGCACCTGGGTGACCTACCTCATCCCACTTGCTGACTGCTCAACGCTTCTCAGCCATAGCTGAATCCCAGCCTCAGCAGCAGCCTTGTGCTGTGGCTCACTGGTGTTCTGCTCACTGATGAGCTGTATTCATTTACTAAATAAGCAGCAAGGCTTGCACTCAAGTTGTAAATGCCAGCACCGTTGCTATAACTGACCTCTCCCACCTGTCCATCGTCACATCGGTGAGGGCTTAACATGCAACTGGAATAACTATTTTTCCTGAATCACAGCTAAGGAGGCTGGCTGAAAAACCCATATAGAAGAATTCCTTCTTTTGTTGGTGGTACTACCCCTAAGGGGCTAAACAAAACTCTGCCTAAAGCGGTGACAAACCTGGGCTAAATTAGTGGAAAGGTAATACCTTTCCCAGGCTCCGCCCTCACTCATCAGCTCCCGGCTGGGAAACTTCACGCAATGCTGCTTATTTCCATCGCCTCCATTAGGTTTCAGAGTTAACATCGCGCCAGGCTGGAGGAGGCCGAG